TATCCATATTAACATTGAATGTAAATGGTTTAAATTCATCAATCAAATGCCACAGATTAGAGGACCAGATCAAAAAACAAAACCCATCTATCTGCTGTTTACAGGAGACACATCTCACCAACAAAGATTAGAGGAAACTGAAAGTGAAAGGATGGAAAAAGATATTCTAAGGAAAAACGTGCAGGGGTGGCCATTCTTATATCAGATGATACAGACATTTATGTGAAAAACACTAAAAGAGATGAAGAAGGATACCATATAACGATCAAGGGATCCGTTCAGCAAGAAGAGATCACCATAATAAATATATATGCAACAATTGCTAAGGCATCTAGCTACATGAAACAAACATAAATGGACTTAAAGGGAGAAATAGACTCCAATACAACCATAGTGGGGGACCTTAATACCCCATTAACATCAAAACATCAATGGACAGGGCCCAGCATGATAGCGTTATGGTTAGGTCCTTGCCTTGAACACATCACCAGGATCCCATATGGGCACTGGTTCTAATCCTGGCAGCTCCACTTCCCATCCAGCTCCCTGAATGTGGCCTGGGAAAGCAGTCGAGGATCGCCCAAAGCCTTGGGACTCTGCACCCGCGTGGGAAACCTGGAAAGAAGTTCCTGGCTCCCAGTTTCGGATCAGTGCAGCACTGGCCGTTGTGGCCACTTGGGGAGTGAATCATCAGACAGAAGATCTTCCTCTCTGTCTCTCCTGCTTTCTGTACATCTGCCTTTCCAATAAAAAATTTTTTAAAAAATCAATGGACAAATTTAAAAAAAAAAAACAAAAAAACAGAAACTCAGCAAAGAAACAACAGAACTCACCAAAACTCTAGAGCACATGGACTTAGTTGATACCTACCAAACCTTACATCCTACAAATAGAGAATACACTATTTTTTAGCAGTGCATGGAATCTTCTCCAGAATTGACCATGTTATAGGCCACAAAACAAGCCTCAGCAAATTTTTTTTTTTTAAAGATTTATTTTTATTATTTTTTCATTGGAAAGGCGGATATACAGAGAGGAGAGACAGAGAGGAAGATCTTCCGTCCGATGATTCACTCCCCAAGTGAGTGCAACGGGCCGATACTATGCCGATCCGAAGCCAGGAGCCTCTTCCGGGTCTCCCACGCGGGTGCAGGTTCCCAAAGCTTTGGGCTTTGGGCCGTCCTCGACTGCTTTCCCAGGCCACAGGCAGGGAGCTGGATGGGAAGCGGGGCTGCCGGGATTAGAACCGGCGCCCATATGGGATCCCGGGCGTGCAATGCGAGGACCTTTAACCACTTGCGCCACCGCGCCGGGCCCTAGCAAATTTTTAAAAATCAAAATTATAACATGCATCTTCTCAGACCATCATGGAGTGAATTTAGAGACCAAAAAGTCAAAACACCCAAGAAGACTTGCAAACACATGGAGACTGAATAATATGTTATTGGATGAGCAATGGATTAGAGAGGAATTCAAAGGGGAAATTTAAAAAATGCTTGAAACAAATGAAGGCATCAACATAATATATCAAAACTATGGGACACAATCAAAGCAGTGTTAAGAGGAAAGTTCATCTCAACCAATGATTATGTTAAGAAATTTGAAGGCATCATGTAAATCAGTTAACTTTACAGTTGAAGGAAATAGAAAAAAACAACACCAAAGCAATCCTAAGAACTAGAAATCCTAACTAGAAAAACCAAAGCAATCCTAAGAATAGTAGGAAAAAAGAAATCATCAAAATAAGGGAGGAAATAAACCAAACAGAGACCAAGAGAACTGTACATAAGATCAATGAATCAGAGAGCTGGTCTTTTGAGAAAATCAACCAAATCGACTCCTCATTAGCCCAACTAATCAAAAAAAGGAGGAAGAAGGTACACATCAGTAGCATCAACGACGAGAAAGTAAACATAGCAACAGATACCTCAGACATACACAGAAGAAGACCTAGAAGAGATGGATAGATTTTTGGACACATACAATCCACCAAAATTGAATCAAGAAGCAATTAATAATCTAAATAGACCTATAACACGCAATGAGATTGAATCAGTAACTAAAGCCCCCCTCCCCCAACCAAGAAAAGACCTGGACCAGAAGATTTCACTGCTGAATTCTACCAAACATTGCAAGAGGAACCTATCCCAACCCTACACGAGCTTTTCCAAGCAACAGAAAGAGAGGCAATTCTTCCAAACTCTTTCTATGAAACCAATATCACCTTAATACCAAAGCCAGGCAGAGAAACAACAGAAAAAGAAAACTAAAGACTGACATCCTTGATGAACGAAGATGCAAAGACCCTCAATAAAATACTAGCCAACAGGATCCAACAGTACATCAGGCAGGCCATTCACCCGGACCAGGTGGGATTCATCCTAGGCATGTAGGGATGTTTCAACATTCACAAATCAATAAATGTGATACATCACATAAATAAAATGAAAAATAAAAACCATATGATCATCTCAACAGATGCAAAGAAAGCATCTGATAAAATCCAACACCACTTCATGCTGAAAACCCTAAACAAGATAGGCATAGAAGGAACATTCTACAACACAATCAAAGCAATTTACGAAAAACCTAATGCCAGAATCATTCTTAATGGGAAAAGCCTGGAAGCCTTTCTTCCAAAACCTGGAACTAGACAGGGATGTCTACTATCACCACCACTCTTCCATATAGTATTGGACAAGAAAAAGGAATTAAAGGAATTCAAATTGGAAGCAGGCAATTGAAATTACCTCTATTGCAGATGACATTGATTCTCTACATAGGAGAACAAAAAACTCAGTCAAGACACTAGTGGAACTCATAAGAGACTTTGTCAGGGTAGCAGGATACAAAATTAATGAACACAAATCGATGACACTAGCGTACACAAATACTTCCATGGATGAGAAAGAAACTGTAAGTACAGTCCCTTTTAAAATAGTGGAGAGGAATTTAAATGCCTAGGAATTAAGCTAACTAAATATGTAAAAGACCTCTATGATGAAAAACATAAAACATTAAAAAAAAAATAGAAGATATTGAAAAATAGAGAAACTTACCATGTACCTGGACTGGCAGGATCAACATCATCAAAATGTCCATATTACCAAAAGCAATAAACACATTCAGTACAATCACAATTAAAATCCCAACAACATTCTTCTCTGAAATAGAAAAGATGATACAAAAGCTCACCTGGAAACACAAGAGACCACAAATAGCCAAAGCTATCCTGAAAAATAAAAATCAAGCTGGAGGAATCACAATTCCAGACCTCAAGACATACCACAGAGCAGTGGTCATCAAAACAGTCTGCTACTGGTACAGAAACAGAGAAGAAGATCAATGGAACAGAACTGAAACACCAGAAGGGAGCCCACACATGTATAGACAACTAATCTTTGACCAATAAATAAATAAATAAATAAAATAAAACTGAAAATAATTCAGCGAAAAATCCTGGTCTATTAACAAATGCTATTGGGACAGCTGGATAGCAGCTTGCAGAATTAAGCAGCAAGATCCACACCTGTCACATTATACAAAAATCAGCTTCAAATCTACACCTAAATCTACACCCAGAAACCATCTAACTATTAAAGGAAAACATAGGAAGCACTGACCAAGGAATAGGAATGGGAAAAGACTTCTTAGAAAAGACGCCAAAATCACAGGCAGTCAAAGCCAAAATGAACAAATGGGACTACATCAAACTAAAAATGCTCTGTACAGCTAAGGCAACATTCAACACAGTGAAAAAGCAACCAACAGAATGGGAGAAAATTGTTGCACCCTACACAAATGTAGGGGACTAACATCCAGGATTTACAAAGTGTTTCAGAAACCTAGGGAAAATAAACAAACAACCCTGTAAAACACATGGACAAAGGAAATGAACAGACATTTTTTTCAAAAGAACAGATCCAAATGGCTAACGGACATATGAAAAGATGTTCAGGCTCCCTAGCCATCAGAGAGGTGCAAATGATAACCACACTGAGGAACCACCTAACTCCAGTGAGACTAGCCTCTATTCAGAACTCAAATAACAACACCTGCTGGCATGGATGTGGGGAGAAAGATACCCTCCTTCACTGCTGGAGGGAATGCAGGCTGGTACAACCACTATGGAAATCAGTATGGAGAGTGCTTGGAGAATTACAAATAAACTTATCATACAATTCAGCTATCCTACTCCTAGGAATATACCCAAAAGAAATTAAAACTGCATGTGAGAAGCGGATCTGTAATCCGATATTTATAGCAGCACAATCTATAATAGCAAAGACGTAGAATCAACCCAGATGTCCATCCAAAGAGGAGTGGCTAAAGAAACTGTGGTACATCTACTCCACGGAATACAGCCATTATTCAGCCATTAAAAAGAATGAAATTCTACAATTTGCAACTAGATGGTCCCAACTAGGGACCATTATGCTCAGTGAAATAAGTCAATCACAAAAAGAGAAATCCCACGTTTTCTCTAATATAAGGAATCCATCATGCAAATTGGAATGTACAGTGGTGGAGTAATGAAGACTACCATATCCAGAAGTCAAGACACAGTGAAACATGCATCTCTGCTTCCAAACAAAAGACGGACTCCCAGTGCAAGTATTGGATATATCTAGACAATGAGATGATGGACGAGCATTGTCTGTACCAGTACTGTTGGGGGCACAGTGATGGAATTGTAACTCCTTATGAAGAGTGTCATAGTGTGGGAAAAATCAACCGGGGAGAGGGGGTGGAAAGCTGGGGGTGGGGAATCCCAGACTACACAGAATTGTGTCATGAATTTCAAAAATAAAATAAAATAAAGAAAGAAAAACATTAATCTACCTAGGCACCACTGGTATGGCTTCAATTCTATGTTGAGCAATGTGACTCCACACAAGAAATATGCTACCAACTGCATGATAAAATCATTACAGAGCCCATTAATGAAAACACAAAGAACCTCAGAGAAGAACAGTAAATCAGATTGTCAGAGTTAATACCTGAGTCGGCTGGACTTCTTTCCTTGCATCGTCAGAAACCAAACAGAAAGCTGGAAGGAAAAAGAAAGGAACAATTGTATATGAAAACCAGCAATTTAGTTCAGTCTCACAGAGCAGGAGAAAACAGCAATACCTCCGCAAGATTTTGTACTTGGGTTTCAACATGGCTGCAAGCAGGTGTTGCTGGCTTTTCTTCAATTCTGGCCTAAAACCATTTCTTGATGTGAGGCATGCACGCGTGGGCTTCCAAGCCAAAAAAAATAAATAAAATTGCTGTTCGAAACCGATTCTGGTCCCTTCTTGGGAGACTCCAGAAGAAGCACCAATGCCCACTCTCAGGGGTCAAGGCCAGAGCTTTCAGCCCAGGCCAGCAGGGTTCCTAGTGAGGTGTAGGTGCTGCAGCGGAGTGCAGAGTAAGCAGAGCTCCCACCAGGGCAACAGAGGTGGGACAGCACAGCACAGTCAGGGGCAGAAGGGCTGAACAGACAGCCAGGACAACTGCCCCATTCACGACTTCATGCCTGCAGTCTGTAAACAGAAGCTTCTCCCTAGAGACACATGCAGGCTCTACACTGTCTCAAATAATAGTAACATTACAGCGGTCAGACTTCGCAAATATAAAGCGAAACAGTGAGAAAGGTTTAGGGAACAAAACCTAACAACTTACTTTATTTCTCCAGCAGGGCTTAGGGGAAGGCACTGCAGGGCATTGATTTTTCTCCCGTTAGCATTCTGGGGAGAAAGGGATCATGCCGTACAGGAAGGGGGCATCAAAAGGTGCAAGCAGCACCACGGGGCAGTACCGCATCACCATGCAAGGAGTGTCCACGCCAGGCCCACGTGAGCTTCAGCGCAGACTCTGCTCAGAAACAGAGGTAACTGCACCCACCGGAGCCCTTCTGTCCTTCCCACGCTTCCAGCCCCAGCCGGTCTCTGCCTCATATTCTCCATGACCCCTAGCTGGCTCAAATGAAATCATCCAACACACACTCACACTAAGAAGCAAATGACTAACACGGCTTAATCGGTTCCATTTCCGGAATGACATTTCAAAAGGCAGGGTGAAATTGAAATCTAAGTCAAACAAATCACTGTGTGTGGAACTGAGATAACCACAGATATCCTAAAACCTCCCTGGACCACCTCACAGGAAAAAGGAAACCGTCGCCTCCACACCCACCTCATCCTGCTTTCCTGGGCATTCATCTCCAATGACCAAATCCTATGTTTGCTTGTTCATTATTTATCTGATATTTTCACTTAAGTTCCATAAGGCAAGCAAATACAGCTTTGTGTACTGTTCACTCCACACCAAGGACACAGCTAGCATAGCCCAGGGTCCTTCCAAAGGTTTATGCAAAACGCATTGATTGAAAACATTCTGCACCCACTTGCAGATCCAAGAACCAGGAAAAGGGCAGGACAAGCTGGGTTGGGCCACAACAACAGCCAGTTCACTTGAGGGCTGAGATTGGGAGCTGGCTGGGCTGGGCTAAGCTACAGCACCCACCAGCATGAGCGGCAACTGGGGACAGGCTGGGGCGGGCCAGGCTACAGCACCTGCCAGCCAATGCTGAGGTGAGGCAGGCCATGCCAGACTGGGCCACAGCACCCACCAGCACCCATGAGACCTGGGGGTTGTATATGGGGGTATAAGCCCAGTAGAGGAGCTGCAGGGGGCTCCCCTGCTGGGCCACTACTCCTGCTGGCTAGTGTGAAAATTGGGATTGTGGTGGGTGAGGCGGGGCAGGCTAGGCTGGGTAGGGCTTCAACACCCGCTAGTCTGCACGTGAGCTGGCTGGGCTAACTGATTGTACCCACTGGTGCATGCGTAAGTGAAAGTGCAGGCTGGTTGGACTTTGCTGCAGCATCAGGTGGCAAGTGCTGGGGCTGAGGGGCAAATCCTGTCAAGCTAGACTGAAGAACTACCTAGAGAGTACAAATTCCAGGACTGGAAGTGGGCCCAGTAGAGAAATTGTGGGCATCTTTCTGATGGATTATAGCTCCCACTGGTAAGCATGAGAACCAGGGCTGGGAGCAGGCCTGGCCAGCACCTGGTAGCACCTGCCAATATGAATGTGGGCTGGATAGTGGGTTTGGTTGGATTGAGCTAGGTTTCAACACCCATCAGTGTGTGCCAGAGCTGAATGGGAGGTGGGATAGATGGAACCAGTCTGTTGCACATGCTGGCAAGCACAGAAACCAGGGCTGAGGATGCGACTAGTAGGAGTGATTAGGGGCTGCTCCGACTAGGCTGCAGATCCTGCTGGTGTATGTGAGAGCTGAGTGTGCGGTGAGCAGGGCTGGGCGGGGCCCCAGCACCCACTAGTCTGCATAAGAGACAGTAAGGAGCCAGAACTGACCCAGCAATTATAACTAGTGTGTGCATAGGCTGACGTGGGTGACGGACAGGGCCAGACCTGCAAGCATACTCAAGAGTCAGGTCTGGGATCATTTCATACAAGGTCTTTGGGGATCTGCCCAACCAAACCACTGGACTCGGAATTCCAACCATGGGGAAAATCGCAGGAGCTGTGGTTTGAATGTGGAGTCCAAGTGTCAGAGCTGGGCCTCCTCAGTGGCTTAGATGGAGCAGTGGACACCACACCCAGATGCACATGGAAGGTATAGCAGTCCATTATTTTATTGGAAAGGCAGATGTACAGAGAGGAGGAGAGACAGAGAGGAAGATCTTCTGTCCGATGATTCACTCCCCAACGAGTGATGCGCCGATCCGAAGCCAGGAGCCAGGAACTTCTTTCCGGATTTCCCACGCAGGTACTGGGTCCCAAGGCTTTGGGCGATCCTCAACTGCTTTCCCAGGCCACAGGCAGGGAGCTGGAAGGGAAGTGGAGCTGCCAGGATTAGAACCGGCGCCTATATGGGATCCTGGTGCGTTCAGGGCAAGTACCTTAACCATTAAGCTATCACGCCAGGCCCCCAGCTGCTCCACTTGTGATCCATCTTCCTGCTAATGTGTCTGGGAAAGTAGCAAAAGGCTTGGGCTCCCACTACCCTCACTGGAGACCTGGATGGAGCGTGTGCCTCCTGACTTTCTCCTGGCCCAGCTCTGGCCATTGCTGCCATCTGGGGAGTGGACCAAAAGATGAAAGTCTCTCCCTCTCTCTGTCTGTCTATCCTTGTCTCTGTGTAACTCTGTCCTTCAAATGAATAAACAATTAAAAAAATCCATCTTCCTGAAGCTGGGCCCAGGACCTGTGCCCACTTGTTGGACCCCATCTCACAGTTCACTGCCTGCACCTGCGAGGTAGGCTAGCTGTGCAAAGCAAGACTCTAGAGTTGCCAACGCGAAGGGAGTTTCCTTCTGCTTTTCTGCCCAGACCTAGGGAAAGGGTTGAGGCAGGCCCTGCTCCCAGAATAGGATAACAGAGCTGCTTAAATGCTCTTACTCGAACATATCTGTATAAACTCAGACCTGGGCCCTCCTATTCTCCTCACTGTTTTCATGACTGTGAGAAAAGAAAAGAGAAAGTCAGAGAGAGAAAGAGAAAGAGAGAGAAGAAGGAAGGAAGGAAGGAAGGAAGGAAGGAAGGAAGGAAGGAAGGAAGGAAGGAAGGAAGGAAGGAAGCAAGCAACTCTGAAAAAGCCCAAGCCGTTTCCCTAAGCCAGCCCCATCAGAGACTCCACTCTGCTACTTCCCCAGGGGCCTTCCTACCACTTTGCTGCACACAACAATTCTGTTATGTGTGTGTGCTTGCTCCCTCCCTTTATCTCTAAGCTGGGGGAAGAACCCACCAACACTTCCTGCCCCAGTCGCTCTCTATCCCTAATACACACAAGGATCTCCAGATTAGAACCGCCTCTTCTATGAAGCACCGTGATTTTCTCTTCTTAACGGTTTCAGAGACAACATCTAGTAACCAGGGTAGACCTTCATCTCAGTCTTCTGTGTGGCCACAGTCTACATGTCAACCCAACAGGCCCCTGGCCCTGAGCCTGTAGATCACAGGGAAGGAAAGGTGTCTATTTGGTACTGATTCTCAAAATGACAAACCCATCATCTCCATTAAAGTAAGCAGCAAATCATATTTGACAAAGCAATGGTTTCAAGTAGGAATTACACAAAAGGAAGACATCACCAACAAGCCACATGAATTTCCCAAACATGCTTGTCATCATCAAGACATCATTCTTTATTCAGACAAGATTTAAACTACATTCCAGTTCTGTCCAAAAATACACAGATCTAGAATTAAAATATCCTTTACCAAAAAAAAGGCCCTCATTTTCTCTCCATCACTCTGCTATGAAATTAAAAATTTCTTTCTCCCATGATAGATTTCAATTATGTAATATCTAAGAACTGCACCAGTTATTCTCAGTCACAAGAGATCATCTCCATTAGATGCAGATTTTTAAGTGTCAGTGGTTTTATCTTTAGTTTTCCATAATTTAAATCAAACAAAGGAAATCATTAAAGAATCAAATGTGTTTTCAAGGCATAGAATATTCCACGTGACTAATAAATCCAATCTTAAAATAATAATTCATTTACAGGATTCCTACAGGCAAAATCCAAGCTTTATGGAAATGAAGGTGAAAAGGTGCAAGCAGATGAGGAAAGCAAGAGCACTGAGAAGGTGAAATAACAGGTTGATGGCTATCTCCAACGACCACAAGGACGCCTGACGCAGCCAGGCCTGCAGGTCGGCACTTCAGAAAACTCTCCAAGAGCAGGCACAGGGCACAGTGGGTTAGACCACCGCCTGGGATGCCAACATCACACTCTGCAGTGCCTGCGTTCCAGCTTCATAGCCAAGGCCAGCTTCCTACTAACTCACACCCTGGGAGGCGGCAATACATGTTTCAAGTACTCAGGTCCCTGCCACTCAAGTGGGATACTTGGAGTTCCTGGGTCCTGGTATTGCAGGCAGGGACAGCCGCTGCAGCCAGCCTTTCTGGGAAGGTAAATCCACCATCCACACACTTGCAGACAGCCGGCAGCGGGGAAACAGTTTCAGTAGCCCTGGGGCAGTCCTGCTAAACTAAGAAGTGGAGCACCTGTCACTCCACTCCTGGCTGATGGCAG